TTAGAAGTGAACATGGGAAAGAGCAAGGTGATGAGGGTAACAAACAGATTAGGTAATTAAAGATTGGATATCAGATCAGAAGGAGGGAGTATGGAGGAAGTCAGTGTGTTCAGATATTTTTGAGTGGACTTGTCGACAGATGGGTCTATGAAAGACGAGGTGAACCATAGAATTGAGGAAAAAAAGTGGGTGGTTCATTGAGACATCTGTGGAGACAAAATGTTATTCATGGAGGCAAAAGCAAAAATATATGATAGTATAATGGTACCAATACTTTTATATTAGTGTGAAGCATGGGTTGTGAATGTCACAGTGAAGAGGAGGCTGGAGGCAGTGTAGATGTTGTATCTAAGGGTAATGTGTGGTGTAAATATTGTGTAGAGAATTCGTAGCTTGGAGATGAGGAGGGATTGAAGGGGGGGGGGGGTTGAGATGGTTTGGACATTTAGGGAGGATGGAGGAGAATTGGATTACTTGGATGGTACATAAATCTGTAATGGAGGAAAGATGGGGTAGGGGTTGCTCTAAGAAAGGTTGGAGGGAGGAGGTAAAAGAAAAAAAGGTTTTGTGTGTGAGGGGCCTGGACATCCATCAGGTATGTGTGAGCTTATTAGAAAGGAATGGAAGCAAATGGATTTTGGGACTTGATGAGCTGTTGAATTGTGAGCAAGGTAACATTTTGTGAAAGGATTCAGGAAAACTGGTTAGCCAGTCTTGAATTCTTTTGGTGGGAAGTATAGCACCTGCACTCTGAAGGAATAGTGGAGATATTCGCAGTTTAGAGGGGCATCTGAAATGTATCAGTGCACCACTGGCAGGACAGTGATGGCGTGTATGATTGTGCAAGTGTTTCTTTTGTTTTGGGTCACCCTACCTTGGTGGGGAAATGGCTGGTGAATTAAAGAAGAAAAAGTAGAATACAGCAGTACAGTGGACCCCCGACTTAGGATCAGCTCCCAACTCGAACAATTGTGTAAGTGTATTTTTGTAAGTGCTTTTGTAAGTGTATTTTTGGGGGTCTGAAACGGACTAATCTAATTTACAATATTCCTTGTGGGAGCAAATTCGCTTGGTAACGGCACCCGAACAGCCTTCTGGAACGAATTAATATCGTAAGTCGGGGTCCACTGTATTTACAACAATCATTTTATTGTATTCAAAGTGTGAAAATAAAAAAAAGTTTCTTACTGCTATAAATAATAAAGGACATTAAATGTACTGTAATTATGCATTTATCTAGGTGGTTAGATAAACAAGTGTTTGTTTATCTAACCAGCAGGCAGCCTTAGGAAAATGACTTCACTGATAAACTGTGAGATCAGCCTTATGACACTAATTTTCATTAATATAAAAATTACAACAGTAGGTGTAGGTTTTTCCATTTTTTTTTATTCAATAGAGGGGGGGCTTATTGCATTTGTATCCCAGTAGATGATATTGGTGGGCACCCTTGGGTAGGAAAGGTGTATGTGTATCCCACAGTTTTGGCCACTAGTGAGATGTCTGACATATTGCTGCTACATTGTAGGAATTACTTGTTGGTTGTTAGGCCCACTTGCTGGAGGGTTTACCCTGTGTTGGATGGCTAAGTGTTTTGGGCTTAGAGATAATTTTGAAGGGGATCCCTTGAAGTGTTTTTGCCCTCCTCATTACTTCAGCTTTTTATGGTTTGTGCTTTGTTGTCAATATGATTTCCTTTTAGTTTTTTATATCCGATTTACAATGGAATATCAGAAGGTGAAGGTGAAATCAGAGTTGCAGATGTTTATCTAGAAGTTTTTTCCTGAATATCCATATTTAGCCACAAAATAGTATTCTTTTACTGGATCTCTAGTTTTTCTGGCATTCTGAGCAGTGAACTTGTGAATGCCTTTGCTTGGTCAGAAGTTAAGAATCTTTTGTTCTCCTACAGGCAGTTACTCTCCAAACAGTTGACCAGTTTTTACCCAGAAAGTTTAAGATAGCTGGCAGCATCATTGATGCACATTGATTACCAACAAGTAATTTTCTATAATATTACAACTGGGTTTCTGGCTATCTTTTTTTTCTATCATTGGCATTTATGGGAAACTGTTTTCTCATAACTGCTTTTAATGGACATAACTAGCTTGCCCATGGCCATCTCATTTATTGGCATCCTGCTGTGCAGTGTGAAGTTAGCCAGGCCATAGTTACCATGCAGCACATCCTAATGGATTTACTTCAGAGTGCATTTTCCTTGTTTTCAGCATCTCTCTTCACACCCTGCTGTGTTTACTCTATCAGTTCTCTGAAAGTGTTATCTATAATGCAGATATCCATGGCTTTTTAGCTGCTTTATCATATTGTCTTCAACTAATATATTCATGTCCTATCACACCTGTTCTTTAATTTTCCTATGTTTTATTCATGATTGTCTTTTCTTCTGATAACTAATATTGGTTATGCAGGTTAAGGGAATATTATTTGCATTTACAAAACATTGTCTATGGAATGTAGTTTGTTTCTTTTCTATTGTATGGTAAATTATTGAACAATAAATTGTGATACTAACTTGTTTAAAAAATATCTATTTTAATCAATTAAGGTACCGCATCAGGCCCTACTAAATATTGTACTGTAAGTAGAGAGATGATAAACACTATACAATCCAGGGAATTGGAGCTATACTCCCATTGTATGAAATCTGATTACTTTCTATTTATTTTATTATTAACACACTGGCCAATTCCCACCAAGGCAGGGTGGCCTGAAAAAGAAAAACTTTCACCATCATTCACTCCATCACTGTCTTGCCAGAAGGGTGCTGTACACTACAGTTTTTAAACTGCAACATTAGTACCCCTCCTTCAGAGTGCAGGCACTGTACTTCCCATCTCCAGGACTCAAGTCCGGCCTGTCGGTTTCCCTGAACCCCTTCATAAATGTTACTTTGCTCACACTCCAACAGCACGTCAAGTATTAAAAACCATTTGTCTCCATTCACTCCTATCAAACACGCTCACGCATGTCCGCTGGAAGTCCAAGCCCCTCGCACACAAAACCTCCTTTACCCCCTCCCTCCATCCTTTCCTAGGCCGACCCCTACCCTGCCTTCCTTCTACTACAGACTGATACACTCTTGAAGTCATTCTGTTTCGCTCCATTCTCTCTAAAATGTCCGAACCACCTCAACAACCCTTCCTCACCCTCTGGACAACAGTTTTGGTAATCCCGCACCTCCTCCTAACTTCCAAACTACGAATTCTCTGCATTATATTCACACCACACATTGCCCTCAGACATGACATCTCCACTGCCTTCAGCCTTCTCCTCGCTGCAAACATTTATCACCCATGCTTCACACCCATATAAGAGCGTTGGTAAAACTATACTTTCATGTACATTCCCCTCTTTGCCTCCAAGGACAAAGTTCTTTGTCTCCACAGACTCCTAAGTGCAACCGCTCACCCTTTTTCCCCTCATCAATTCTATGATTCACCTCATCTTTCATAGACCCATCCGCTGACACGTCCACTCCCAAATATCTGAATACATTCACCTCCTCCATACTCTCTCCCTCCAATCTGATATCCAATCTTTCATCACCTAATCTTTTTGTTATCCTCATAACCTTACTCTTTCCTGTATTCACTTTTAATTTCTTCTTTTGCATACCCTACCAAATTTATCCACCAATCTCTGCAACTTCTCTTCAGAATCTCCCAAGAGCACAGTGTCATCAGCAAAGAGCAACTGTGACAACTCCCACTTTGTGTGATTCTTTATCTTTTAACTCCATGCCTTTTGCCAAGACCCTTGCATTTACTTCTCTTACAACCCCATCTATAAATATATTAAACAACCACAGTGACATCACACATCCTTGTCTAAGGCCTACTTTTACTAGGAAATAATCTCCCTCTTTCCTACATACTCTAACCTGAGCCTCACTATCCTCGTAAAAACTCTTCACTGCTTTCAGTAACCTACCTCCTACACCATACACCTGCAACATCTGCCACATTGCCCCCCTATCCACCCTGTCATATGACTTTTCCAAATCCATAAATGCCACAAAAACCTCTTTAGCCTTATCTAAATACTGTTCACTTATATGTTTCACTGCAAACACCTGATCCACACACCCCCTGCCTTTCCTAAAGCCTCCTTGTTCATCTGCTATCCTATTCTCCATCTTACTCTTAAATTTCTTTCAATAATAACTCTACACATACACTTTCCAGTATACTCAACAGACTTATCCCCCTATAATTTTTGCACTCTCATTTTGATCCCCCCTTTGCCTTTATACAAAGGAACTATGCATCCCTCTCTGCCAATCCCTAGGTACCTTACCCTTCCATACATTTATTGAATATTTGCACCAACCACTCCAAAACTATATCCCCACCTGCTTTTAACATTTCTATCTTTATCCATCAATCCCGGCTGCCTTACCCCTTTCATTTTACCTACTGCCTCACGAACTTCCCCCACACCACAACTGGCTCTTCCTCACTCCTACAAGATGTTATTCCTCCTTGCCTATACACGAAATCACAGCTTCCCTATCTTCATCAACATTTAACAATTCCTCAAAATATTCCCTCCACCCTTCCCAATACCTCTAACTCTCCATTTAATAACTCTCCTCTCCTATTTTTAACTGACAAATCCATTTGTTCTCTAGGCTTCCTTAACTTGTTAATCTCACTCCAAAACTTTTTCTTATTTTCAACAAAATTTGTTTATAACATCTCACCCACTCTCTCATTTGCTCTCTTTTTACATTGCTTCACCACTCTCTTAACCTCTCTCATTTTCTCCATATACCCTTCCCTCCTTGCATCACTTCTACTTTGTAAAAACTTCTCATATGCTTTCTATTTCTTAGGTGCTATATGACCTTTATGGGCTTAGCACTTACCTATAAGTACATATAATAATATATATATAAAATGTTAGCATGATTATGTATTACATACTGTATTTAGTCATAATTGCATGTAATTTAATATTCAATAAAATTTTCTTTACAGGATATTGTGTATGCTGTTGATTTTAACCACAAGAAAGAACGCCATTTAGGAGGCTGTGAGTTGGACAAGATCTCTCGCCCATCTCTTCTTATTACTGATGCTTTTAATGCTTCCTACAGACAGGAGCGTAGACGTCATCGTGATGAAAAACTTGTTGGTTAGTTTCTTGTTTTTAAAGTTTGGTATGCAGGAGACATTTGATTGCACTTTTAATTTTTCTGTTTTAATTGTAAAATTAACTGTTGGTGTAGTATGTACAGTATGTATAAAAATAGTTATATTTTTATATTTAATGTAGTACAATAGGTCTCCTACTTACAGTGTTTCAACTAGCAATGTTGTGCACTTAAACATTCGCAGTTATGCTGATTACAATTATTCAATTTTTTTTTTTTCAACAAGTCAGCCGTCTCCCATCGAGGCAGGGTGACCCAAAAGAAAGAAAATCCCTGAAAAGAAAACACTTTCACCTCACTCATACATAATCACTGGTTTTGCAGAGGTGCCCAGATACAACAGTTTAGAAGCATATATAAAGATATATAACGTATCCCTCCAAACTGCCAATATCCCAAACCTCTCCTTTAAAGTGCAGGCATTGTACTTCCCATATCCAGTACTCAAGGCCGACTATATTAAAATAACAGGTTTCCCTGAATCCCTTCACTAAATATTACCCTGCTCACACTCCAACAGCTTGTCAGGTCCCAAAAACCATTCATCTCCATTCACTCCTATCTAACATGCTCACACATGCTTGCTGGAAGTCCAAGCCCCTCGCACACAAAACCTCCTTTAGCCCCTCCCTCCCTCCAACCTTTTCGAGGATGACCCCTACCCTGCCTTCCTTATCCTACAGATTTATACGCTCTCCATATCATTCTACTTGGATCCATTCTCTCTAAATGACCAAACCACCTCAACAACCCCTCTTCAGCTCACTGACTAATACTTTTATTAACTCCACACCTCCTCCTAATTTCCACACTCTGAATTTTCTGCATAATATTTACACCATACATTACCCTTAGACAGGACATCTCCACTGCCTCCAACCGCCTCCTCGCTGCAGCATTTACAACTCGAGCTTCACACCCATATAAAGGAGTTGGTACCACTATACTTTCATACATTCCCTTCTTTGCCTCCATGGATAATGTTTTTTTGTCTCCACAGATACCTCAATGCACCACTCACCTTTTTTTCTTCATCAATTCTGTGGTTAACCTCATCCTTCATAAACCCATCCACTGACAAGTCAACTCCCAAATATCTGAAAACATTCACTTCTTCCATTCTCCTTCTCTCCAATGTGATATCCAGTTTTTCTTTATCTAAATCATTTGACACCCTCATCACCTTACTCTTATCTATGTTCACTTTCAATTTTTTACCTTTATACACCCTCCCAAACTCGTCCACTAACCTTTGCAACTTTTCTTTAGAATTTCCCATAAGCACAGTATCATCACAAGAAAGTAACTGTGTCAACTCCCATTTTGTATTTGATTCCCCATAATTTAATCCCACCCCTTTCCCTAACACCCTAGCATTTACTTCTTTTACAACCCCATCTATAAATATATCAAACAACCATGGTGACATTACACATCCCTCACGAAATCATAATGACACGATTGCAAACAAACCATACCATGGGTGGCTAACGCGACGGTCTGGAGTTTTGAGACTCTGACCGCGGGTTCAAACCCCACCCGTGGTATGGTTTATTACACATCCCTGTCTAAGACCTACTTTTTCCAGGAAGTAATCTCCCTCTCTCCTACACACCCTAACCTGAGCCTCACTATCCTCATAGAAATTCTTTACAGCATTTAGTAACTTACTACCTATTCCATATACTTGCAACATCTGCCACATTGCTCCCCTGTCCACTCTATCATATTTTTTTTTTTTTTTTTCAACAAGTCGGCCGTCTCCCACCGAGGCAGGGTGACCCAAAAAAGAAAGAAAATCCCCAAAAAGAAAATACTTTCATCATCATTCAACACTTTCACCACACTCACACATTATCACTGCTTTTGCAGAGGTGCTTAGAATACAACAGCTTAGAAGCATATATGTATAAAGATACACAACATATCCCTCCAAACTGCCAATATCCCAAACCCCTCCTTTAAAGTGCAGGCATTGTACTTCCCATTTCCAGTCCGACTATATGAACATAACCGGTTTCCCTGAATCCCTTCACTAAATATTACCCTGCTCACACTCCAACAGATCGTCAGGTCCCAAGTATCATTCGCCTCCATTCACTCCTATCTAACACGCTCATGCACGCTTGCTGGAAATCCAAGCCCCTAGCCCACAAAACCTCCTTTACCCCCTCTTTCCAACCCTTTCGAGGACGACCCCTCCCCCTCCTTCCTTCCCCTATAGATTTATATGCTTTCCATGTCATTCTACTTTGATCCATTCTCTCTAAATGACCAAACCACCTCAACAACCCCTCTTCTGCCCTCTGACTAATGCTTTTATTAACTGCACACCTTCTCCTAATTTCCACACTCCGAATTTTCTGCATAATATTTACACCACACATTGCCCTTAGACAGGACTTCTCCACTGCCTCCAACCGTCTCCTCGCTGCTGCATTTACCACCCAAGCTTCGCATCCATATAAGAGTGTTGGTACTACTATACTTTCATACATTCCCTTCTTTGCCTCCATAGATAACGTTTTTTGACTCCACATATACCTCAATGCACCACTCACCTTTTTTCCCTCATCAATTCTATGATTAACCTCATCCTTCATAAATCCATCCGCCGACACATCAACTCCCAAGTATCTGAAAACATTCACTTCTTCCATACTCCTCCTCCCCAATTTGATATCCAATTTTTCTTTATCTAAATCATTTGACACCCTCATCACCTTACTCTTTTCTATGTTCACTTTCAACTTTCTACCTTTACACACATTCCCAAACTCATCCACTAACCTTTGCAATTTTTCTTTAGAATCTCCCATAAGCACAGTATCATCAGCAAAAAGTAACTGTGTCAATTCCCATTTTGAATTTGATTCCCCATAATTTAATCCCACCCCTCTTCCAAACACCCTAGCATTTACTTCTTTTACAACCCCATCTATAAATATATTAAAAACCATGGTGACATTACACATCCCTGTCTAAGACCTACTTTTATCGGGAAGTATTCTCCCTCTCTTCTACACACCCTAACCTGAGCCTCACTATCCTCATAAGAGCTCTTTACAGCATTTAGTAACTTACCACCTATTCCATATACTTGCAACATCTGCCACATTGCTCCTCTATCCACTCTATCATATGCCTTTTCTAAATCCATAAATGCAATAAAAACTTCCCACTTTATCTACCTTTATCTAAATACTGTTCACATATATGCTCCAATGTAAACACTTGATCTACACATCCCCTTCCCACTCTGAAGCCTCCCTGCTCATCCACAATCCTACATTCTGTCTTACCTCTAATTCTTTCAATTATAACCCTACCGTACACTTTTCCTGGTATACTCAGTAAACTTATTCCTCTATAATTTTTACAATCTCTTTTGTCCCCTTTCCCTTCATATAAAGGGACTATACATGCTCTCCACCAATCCCTAGGTACCTTCCCCTCTTTCATACATTTATTAAGCAAAAGTACCAACCACTCCAACACTATATCCCCCCCTGCTTTTAACATTTCTGTCATAATCCCATCAGTTCCATCTGCTTTACCCCCTTTCATTCTACGTAATGCCTCACGTACCTCCACCACACTTACATTCTGCTCTTCTTCACTCCTAAAAGATGGTATACCTCCCTGGCCAGTGCATGAAATTACCGCCTCCCTTTCTTCCTCAACATTTAAAAGTTCCTCAAAATATTCTCTCCATCTACCTAATACCTCCCTCTCCCCATCTACTAACTCCCCTAACTCCTGTATCATATGCCTTTTCTAAATCCATAAATGCAATGAAAACTTCCCTACCTTTATCTAAATACTGTTCACATACATGCTTCAATGTAAACACTTGATCTACACATCCCCTACCCACTCTAAAGCCTCCTTGCTCATTTGCAGTCCTACTCTCTGTCTTACCTCTAATTCTTTGAATAATAATCCTACCGTACACTTTTCCTGGTATACTCAGTAAACTTCTTCTTTGTTTCAACACAACGAACGTATCCCACCGAGGCGGGGTGGCCCCAAAGGAAAAACGAAAGTTTTTCCTTTTTCCTTTTTTTTTTTTTTTTTTTTTTTTCAACAAACCGGCTGTATCCCACCGAGGCAGGGTGGCCCAAAAAGAAAACCAAAAGTTTCTCTTTTCAAATTTAGTAATTTATACAGGAGAAGGTGTTACTAGCCCCTTGCTCCCGGCATTTTAGTTGCCTCTTACAACACGCATGGCTTACGGTGGGAGAATTCTGTTCCACTTCCCCATGGAAATAAGAGGAAATAAACAAGAACAAGAACTAGTAAGAAAATAGAAAAAAACCCAGAGGGGTGTGTGTATATATATGCTTGTACATGTATGTGTAGTGTGACCTAAGTGTAAGTAGAAGTAGCAAGATGTACCTGAAATCTTGCATGTTTATGAGACAGAATAAAGACACCAGTAATCCTACCATCATGTAAAACAATTACAGGTTTCCGTTTTACACTCACTTGGCAGGACGGCAGTACCTCCCTGGGCGGTTGCTGTCTACCAACCTACTGCCTAAAACTCAGTAAACTTCTTTCTTCTTTCAACACACCGGCCATATCCCACCGAGGCGGGGTGACCCAAAAGGAAAAACGAAAGTTTCTCCTTTTACTTTTAGTAATATATACAGGAGAAGGGGTTACTAGCCCCTTGCTCCTGGCAGTTTAGTCGCCTCTTACGACACGCATGGCTTACGGAGGAAGAATTCTGTTCCACTTCCCCATGGAGATAAGAGGAAATAAACAAGAACAAGAACTAGAAAGAAAATAGAAGAAAATCCAGAGGGGTGTGTATACGTATATATATGCTTGTACATGTCTGTGTAGTGTGACTTAGTGTAAGTAGAAGTAGCAAGACGTACCTGAAATCTTGCATGTTTATGAGACAGAAAAAAGACACCAGTAATCCTACCATCATGTAAAACAATTACAGGTTTCCGTTTTACACTCACTTGGC